CGTAATCACCCTGGCCATTTACAGAGGGAGCGGTTTGTGAAGTGCTCCATGATTAAAGCTTGCATGATTGGTCTTGCGTCCAGACCAAAAGCAAACATTTTTGAATGTAAGCCTAAGCAGGAATACTGTTACTAATCAGATATATGAGCTTGTCACTGATTTACAAGGACAGTTGATTGAAAAGAGAAAATATTTCATTGCATATTCCCTTGCCTGTAGATACTGACATTGGTGACATGGCACAGCCAGCAATCTTCATCCGTGGATTGGATTCAAATTTATTCATTGCAGAGGAACTTATGGTTATGAAATCAATGCATGACACTACCACAGGAAAAGACATATTTGAAGCAATATCTAAACGTGTAAATGACATGAAACTGCCCTAGGACAAACTTACAGGATGGATCATATACCCAGGAAACACTATGTGGCAAAGCCCCAAAGATGGAATATATAGTAAGCACTGTAACACAGACAGTTAACTTTATAAGAGCCAAAGGTTTAAATCACCATCAATTTAAATCTTTTCTGGAGGAAATACATTCTGAACTTGGTGATCTTCCCTATCACACAGAGGTCTGATGGCTAAGTTGAGAAAAAGTGCTCAATATATTTTTCGAGTTGTGTAAGGAAATCTGTCAGTTCATGGAAAGTAAGGGAAAAAACTCCATAGTTTTGCGGGATGAAAAGTGGCTGTGTGAATTAGCTTTTCGGTGCGACATAATTAAGCATCTCACTGCACTAAACCTTCAGCTTCAGGATGGGACCATGTGATCACAGACATGTATGATTCAGTGAAAGACTTTCAAATTAAGCTGCAACTGTGGGAGACTCAGATGAAGCAAGGAAAACTGATCCACTTTTCCTGTTGCCAAACAATCTTAAACTAAGTTTCAACTGCTCTGTTCTCAGATGCTCATTTTGCTGATAAACTGAGCACACTTCACATGGAGTTTACATATCACTTTGTTGACTTTGAAACACAGAAATTCAGTAATTCATTTGCAGTTGACAGAAAGCACCTGTAAACATCCAGATGGATCTGATAGAACTCCAATGTAGCATCGCACTTAAGGCAAATATTATTCTGTGGGGCCCACACAGTTCACCAGGTTCATCCCTGAAATGATGCCCCAACTGTGCATACAAACTGTTGGAATGCTCTGCATGTTTAGTAGTATATACATGTGTGAGTAACTTTTCTCTGTGATAAGTTTGAAAAAAAAAGTATACACAGAAGTCTTCTCACCAATGCACACCTCCACTTTATCCTGAGAGTTTCCACAGCTCAGAATCTAACCTCAAACATTAATGAACTTGTAGACGAGAAAAGATGTGAAACATCCAGCTTGGACAAATGATATGAAAGAGAGAACTAAATAGTTTATGTTTTTTCTTTTAAATTTATTTTTGCAGATATATTTGAAATATTTGTTCATATTTGAAATGTTAATCCTGTTTAACATCTTGGACATAATATACTCCTGAACTAATATGACACATAGTCTTACATGCAACTTGATCTCTGAAGGCTATCATAATACTGATGCCTTCATCAATGAAATTAAATTTGACATTCCTGGACTACAGTGTGTAATCACCCTAAAGTTGCTTTTTGTGCCTCAGGTTAACAGAATAACAGAGTTGGAAGGGACCTTGGGGATATTCTAGTCCAAACCTCTGCTCAAGTAGGAGATTATATATATTTTAGACAAATGGCTGTCCACTTTCTTCTTAAAAGCTTCAGTGTTGGAGCACCCACAACTTCTAAAGGCAAGCTATTCCACTAGTTGATTGTTGTTACTGTCAGAAAGTTTCTCCTTAGTTCTAAGTTGCTTCTCTCTTTGTTCATTTTTCAATCATTGCTTCTTGTCCTGCCTTTTGGTGCTTTGGAAAATAAACTGACCCCCTCTTCTTTCTGGAAGCCTTCAAATATTGGAACACTAGTATCATGTCACTCCTAGTTCTTCTTTGACTAAACTAGACATACACAATTCCTGCAACCATTTTCCATAAGTTTTACCCTTCAGTCCCCCAATCATATTCACTGTATTTCTCTGCACTCTTTGCAGACTTTCAACATCTTTTTTATATTGTGGTGACCAAAACTTGATACAGTATTCCAAGTATGGTCTTACCAATGCATTACAAAGTGGTAGTATCACTTTTTGTGATCTTGATTCTGTTTCTCTGTTAATGCAGCCTAGCATTGTATTGACTTTTTTGACAGCTGCAGTACCCTGCTGGCTCATATTTAAGTGTTTGTCCACTAAACGTCTTGCAGTTATTGCTGTTGAGCAAAGTTTTATCTAATGTACCTAATCTGAGTGAGCATCATAGTTTATATTTTGTAGACAGTGAGAAGCATCTGTGTATTAAAAAATTAATATCTACCCTTGTAAGGTAAAGAAGAGATGTATTTTTTTTAAAAATCCCCATTGTCCTGGAAATTCTATTATTGTCTGGCAATCTTATATGTGCTCTCTGAGGTATAGGAAATGACAATTGTAAGATAGGAGAGGAAAGAAAGAAACAAACAAAAAAGAAAGAAAGAAAGAAAGAAAGAAAGAAAGAAAGAAAGAAAGAAAGAGAAAGAAAGAAAGAGGAAAAGCCCCTTTCTTCTAAACCTCCAGGTTTGGGACAAGCCCAATTCTCTTTGTTTAAGTTTATAGAACTGTGTGTCAAATTTGAGAAATTAGATGAAGGAGTCAACTGACAGCATTAAGTATAAAAACAAAGATAGCCATTACTCGTGAGCCTGAAATTTTATTCCCAAGTTTACCCCATATTTCAGAGACTGGTTGAATTGAGTTCTTGATTAATAACTATGCTGCCAGACACTTGCATTATGGATTTGTGTGTGTGTGTGTGTGTGTGTGTGTGTGTGTGTTAAGGGTATAAGATTTTCTATCACTCACACCTAATGCTTTGCTTTCACCTGATTCTTAACGAATAGCTTCTCTCACAAAAGAATGAGAAAACCAGGAAATCACGAAACTTTTCTTAAGCCCTAATTTTGGAACATTAAGGCTCCTTGATCTCTGTCCATCTCTCATGTGATGTCATTATGGTGATACAAAATGAAGTTACTGTTGACAAATCATTTCCCCCCCCCCCAAAGGGTCCTAAGGTGACATATAGTTCTGCATAGAGAAAAAGAAATTGCTAGCAAATAATCCCCAGCAGTACAACTAAGTTATTATGCCAAATATTTTTGGTGTGAAAATTAAATCTATATATGTTGATGGGATCAGAGATTCAGACTCAAAAAAGATTAGTCAGTACAGTAGAGAAAGTTTCACTCTGTATTTATGGCAAGAGAAAAACAGCTCATTATGAATCATTGTTATTTCCCCTTGAGGCTTATCGGTTGATATTATATCCCTTTAACAGAAGTAAAGGTTCATTTAATATACAGTCATTAACACATTCTGTTGGCACTCATTTAGCTAAGAAGTATAAAGACTTGGATATCTTTTTTAAAAATCTGATTTCACAATGAAATGTCATTCTCATATTGGCTGTCTCATTATCGCATCATACAGCACAATTAGAATATAATAATTCTGTGTAGCCTCATAAATGAGACTATTCCTATGTTATGAGTAAATTTAGTTGTCAGTATACCAAGTTGTTCTTTTTATTAATAACAAAATTAAAAGAAAACCCACCCAACCAGAGAACAAGGTGCATTTTTTCCTGTCTCTCTTCTTTTTCTCCTTCTTCCTTTAATTATTTTTCTTTGCAGAGTATTTGTAATTGATAAAATACAATATATTCAGAAATAATGTCATGATGACTCAGCAACTCCAATATTTCCTGTTAGAAACCATAGCAAATTTAATGTGCATTTTTACAGAGTTAGCAGAGAAGTGCATTGCCATCAGCAAAGACTCAGGCCAGTGGAAAGTGATTGCACAAATTACAAAATGCCACATAGCACTGAATTATAACTTACAATGAATGCTTTGGTGAAAGAAAAATCAAGTTGGTGGCACCACATTGAGATAATATTCAAAACTGGCTTGTAAAATGTTCCAAGGAATATCCATTTGGGATTGTATCACACATGAAAGCAGTTTACAGAATGTACTGTAAGTTAAAGTTTGCAGATACAGAAGTTGCCAAATTAAAGAAAATCCACCAAATAGAGAACACACACATATAATATATGTATTTATAGAAACCTTTAAGTACCCCATAGGGGTTGGACAGGCTAATAACTGCCACCATCAAATAGGAAAGAAAGCGATAATTGTCAGAGGAAGAAATCAACTAAGAAAGCCCAACAAAGGCTCCGACACTTTCTTGCACATGTTCCATCATTGTAGATTTTTTTGTACTTATTCGCTGCATTGGATTTATGACAAGATTTGCCATCCAGGAAAGAAGTTCTTCCAAAGGACAAAGATGTTTCCCTCCGCTGCCATCCGAGTAGAGTTGGCATCTGGAGAGCTAGAGAGGCTACATGCTGAGATGTAGTAGGAGGGAAGTCTTTCTATTTAGAGTTATCTCTTTCTGGGATAAGAATCACATCCAGTTTTATAATATCAAAACATGAATGAATAAATAAATAAAAATAAAATATAAATAACAGCTGAAGAATAAAGGGAATTCAGTACTTTCATTTGTTTGACTCAAGAAAAGAAAAAGTATAGAAAAATGTACATTGTCACATTGAACAATACATTTTTACAGTGCACCAATTCTCCTTAAAAAGGAAAAAGAAAAAGAGAGGAAAAAAGGGGAAAAATAGATTTAAAAGAAGGAAAGAAACATGCTATTAGTTTCTTCTCTCTCTTTTTTTTAAAAAGTGTAATATTTTATTTATTGATTTTGTATGCATTTCCTGAAGAAGGTGCTCCATTGTGTAGCGAATTAGAGTACATTGGGTGCAGGGTGGTGGTTGAAAGTTAGGGTCAGCTTTGCTGTCCGCTCCATAGATTTTACAGGTGATTTTCTCTTTGCTTTAAGAAGAAAAAGTGATATTGGAAAAAGTCAGCACTTTTTAGATCAAAGTAAAGCACCCTTCACAAAGCCACAAACAAGAAGCAGGACAGAAAGTCCATGGCTTGTAGCTATCCTCGCACCTGCGGAAGAAGTTATAAGATATTCGCTCATCTTGCAGATTTCCAATGCTTCTTTATAAGGCTGTTTAAACATATACATTCATATATTTAATTAGTTCATCAGCTTGGCTCTTGCACCCATGACTTTCTTGGCATGCACTGCAAATAACAACATATACAAAGGGTTTCAGTCCCACAAGGTGTTTTGCTTTGTAATTTTTGCTTTTAATGTTTTCCCCTAACAATATAATCTAGTCATATGGAAAAAGAGCATTATGAACACATTCTCAAATTGTTCTTTATCCCCAAATTCCAATAATAACTTTACAAAGTGAACTTTATGCCTCAAAGCAAGCTAAACAAAGGATAATTCAAACCCTCGTGGGTCAACATATATGGGCAGCCGACTGTCTTTAGTTTGGTGGGAAACCAGTTCTGCAATCCAAAATTAAAATGTCTATTTTTTTAAAAGAGTAGTGTATTGAGATTTTTAAGAGTATGTTTAAAGGCATCTCTGTTCATAAATATTTGTAAGCCTATTGCAGATTAGGTGACACCTTATTCTTTTTTTAAAATAGAGGGGATACTTGTTAATCTTTGAAATCCTGAAAAAAAAAAACTGCCCATGCTTTGACATAAATTAAGAAAAATTCTGCATAATCAGTAAAGATATTTAGAGAGGATAATCTTGGGGGAAATGGTCTAACCTGTTAGCTATAAATCAGAGATGGAGAAATTCTTTGTGGAACATAGGGATTCAATGAACTTTCTGAGCTCACTACCAGGCTTAGACTACAAAAATAGGCCTGTGTAATGTTGCACGTATGTGCATATGAAGTTATGGCAGACTGTTGAGGTATGATCAACCCCAGACTAAACAAACATGTCATCAGACATAATAAAACAATGAAAATACATTCCTAACTCAAATAGGATCAGGATCCTTGTCTTTCTGAAAGAATGTCTGAGATGTTCTGGTTGTTGCAAAATATATTCCTATGTTCTAAGGGTTGATCAGTATTATTCAGTCATGCACATTTGCGAAAGATTTTTTGTGCTTTGAATACAAGATATCCCGAAAGGTAAATTATATAGAATAATATACCTGAAGTGTATGAAGTGACATGTTTTGCTTTGCTAAGGAATGGTGCTGATGTTCTATGATCTATATTCTCTATATAAGGACAAAATAGATGGAGACAAAATATAATTATATGCCCCTTATCTTATTCTTAAGATACTTCTAGCATACTCCTGGCACTGTAGGTCCTCTCCATACTCTGAAATATTATCTGCCAAGAGTGCTCACTTAAGTTCAGCTGACCTGAAAATATGAAGATGTTTCAAATACTCAGAAGCACTGCAAGATTTGTAAAATCAAGTGCAGGGAATGCACAGAACATAGAATTATAAGATGAAAGGAATCTTAAGGTTTTCTAGTTCAAAGCCCTGCTCAAAGCAGGAGAACCTTATATCATGCCAGTAAAATGATTGTCCAATCTATTTTTGAAAACCTCCAGTGAAGGAGGAGCTACAACTCTGGGAAGCAAGTTATTCCACTGATTAAGTGTTCTCACTGTCAGAAAGCTCCTCTTCACCTCAAGATGGTGCCGTAATGGCAGCCTTGGTGAAATGCTCTCTTGTAATTTTGAAGTTTTCTATTATTTTTTATGACACTCTGAGAATTTCATGAATGAAATTCATATTGAACTTTTGAATATCAAACAATGGGCTTTAAATAACAAACATCTATCTGGGACCATTCCTCCCTTCTTTTCAAATGCGGAAGGAAATTCTGATTGATGACATGGCAATTATCTCTTTCAGCCCAGTAGAAACAAAGAAACAGAAGAACAAAAGAAGGAGGAAGAGAGGTAAGTGAGGAGGCATATTACAAAGGCTCGGGAACATGGGGAAAGCAAATCCTCCTCCCACTTCTGCATTTAATTAATCTTTGCTCAAATAGAGGAACTGCTACTTTTAAATAGTAACATATTCAGGGGTGGGTTTCAAAACTTTTTACTACTTATTCTGTGGGTATGACCTATTTTGTGAGCGTGGCTTGGCGTTCATGTGACTGGGTGGGCATGGCCAACTTGATGTCACTCACCAGGAGATGTTATGGATTGGGTAAAATGTGATGAAGCTCACTTAACAATGCTCTTGCTTAGCAACCAAATTTTGGGCTCAATTGTAGTCGTAAGTCAAGGACTATCTCTGCCTTCCTCTGCATGGCAGTCTTGTCCTAGTAAACTCCTTCTCCTTTCTGGCAATTTTCCTCTCTGTTAGAGGCACCAAAATAATCCAGACAGTGTAAGGTATCCTGCTGCAGTGGGGGGTTGGACTAGATGACCTCTGAGTAGCCATCTAGCCCTAAATTGCTGTGCTGTTTTTGTTTCTTTCCTTCCTTTTCTTCTTTCTCCCTTCCCCCAATAACTGCTAAATGTTACTTTGTAAACCTGAGCAGCTTTTCAATTTTAAGCAGGACTCCAAAGTTTGCAGCTTTAAGACTTGTGGACTTCAACTCCCAGAATTTCACAGCCAGGCCTGCTCAGTTCTGATTTAAAGCAATAGCATTTGTTTTTCTCCTTTGCTAATATCCCGGGTAAAAAGTAAGTTTCTTTCTTTCTCCCTCCCTCCCTCCCTCCCTCTTCCCCTCTCTTATTTTTAAAGCTTTTTTCCCCTTGCCTGAACCGTCAGGGAAAAAAACCCTTTTTAAAAAAGCTTGTGATGGGAAAACAGGTTTGGGGGCATGGCCAAGCCACCATTTTTACTACCGGTACTGTTCGGTACGCCAGATTTTCACTACCTCTTCTGGTGTACCAGACCATATAGGGAGAAACCCACCTCTGCACATATTGGTAGGAAGCTACCAAGATACATATAGCATGTCAACTGTCTGTCTAGAGCAGTGGTTCTCAACCTATGGGTCGGGACCCCTTTGGGGGTCGAACGACCCTTTCACAGGGGTCGCCTAAGACCATCGGAAAACACATATTTTCAAAAAAAATATGGAAAACATGAAATAATTTTATGGTGGGGGTTCCCCACAACATGAGGAACTGTATTAAAGGGTCGTGGCATTAGGAAGGTTGAGACCCACTGGTCTAGAGGCAATAATATTTTAGACCACTGCTGTTATGTATTAAATATATAAGTTGTGTTAAGTCCTGCTAAAGTGAAACTAACTGAAACCTTTAGATGACCCTAATTGTTAACCTCAACTGTTTTGGAGTGAAACTTAGAGCATTTATATTTGTGTGGGCTTTTTCAAGTATTATGATCGGTTAGGGCCTTGTGGGCCCAGAGTATAAATTACAGGGATTTGTCTGCAGTTCCTCAGTTCCAGTTATGAGTCAATAAATGCTGCTGTTTCTATGCTGGTCTGTTTTTGCCTAGAAGGCAAGAACAAAAAGTCCACTACGCCATAGTGGCGATGAAGCTGGGATGCTACAGAGGAGACAGCTGCTGATAACCAAGAGACTGAACTCATTGGGTTATAGCCTGGGTAACGAGCCCCAGCAGGACTAGTACTCACCCCCACCTACTGGAAAACCACCCTGGAGGCACGCTGAAATCACTGGGTATCAGACCAGGTAAAGAACCCTGATGGGACCACACTACTCGCCTTGCCTGCCAGTAAGACACACTGAAGGCACAGACATATCTGAGGGATCTGTCCCCAGGAATCCTAAGTGCAGCCCAGCTCCAACCGCAACAGTATAGGCATTAAATAGCACCACAGGGCCTTCCCAAAATAGCTAAACTGGGAAGATTTATCAACTTTGATATTACTCACCCAGAAAGGTGGAGCTCTTACATTTCCCGAGTAGACAACTATCTCCAGGCTAACCAGGTCATGGACGAAGGCCTGAAGGCGGCAATCCTACTATGTGTCTGCAGAGAAGCCACGTTTGGTATCAATGAAAACTTGATAGCACCAGCAAGCATAGAGACAGTGGCCTATGCAGACCTTAAGAAAAAAATTAAGTGAACATTTTGAGCCCAAACTCTCCTGGAACATGAACAGAGATCCGGGAATCTGCAGCAGAGTTTGTAGCAGCCCTTTGCCAAGCTTCACAGTAAGGCAAGTTTCTCGATCTGACTATCTCAGAGACTGTCTCATTTGCAGCCTGCATAATAGTAAATTACAGTAATGCCTATTCGCCATAGAGAAACTGACTTTCCAAGAAACATTGAAGGAAGTCATGATGGAGGGGCCATGAAGACTCTCGGAGCACCAAAACCACACACCTTCCCTCCAGCAATCCACCAAGACTGTCAGTGATCCATCAAGAGACCACCAAGAGAAGGCTCCGGGGAGGTCAGTGACATTGAAGAAATTGATCACTTGCGGAGAGAACCACCCAGAAGGCCACGTTCCACAGAGCAAGCAACTCCCCCACAGAGCTGCACAAGCTGCAGGGGACAGCATGACAGAGCAGAGTGCAGATTCCACACAATAACATGCCATGCCTGTGGAAAGCAAGGGTGCATTGCCATAGTTTGCAGAGGCAGCACAAAGGGAAAAGGCCCACAGGACAGAACATAGTTCAATATTGCTTGGGAAGGTGTAGCATCCATTGCACGGGGACTCAATCAAAGAAAAGATAAGCCTCAAACCAAAACTTCAAGGGGTCCCATGCTCCTTGGAGCTAGATACTGGATCGGCCCTGTCCATTATCACCTCCATGACCTTCGACCACATTTGCAAATGTAGTTGATGGCAGATCCTGCTCAAATAATCGAGCTTAGTGCTGACGGACTTCCAGAATCACCATGTTCCCATAAAGGGTAAGCTACCATTAGATTACAGTTCAGAGAGTTCAAGGGTACCCTCAGTGTAGTGGTCAGAAAGGGGTCTCGCACCAGCCTCATAGGACTGGACTGGTTCGAGGCCCTGGGCATCAGGGTAACTGCATCCATCGAACCCAAATAGCCAATCTAGAAGCAGTATGCCAACAATACGCTGACCTATTCAGCACTGAACTATGACAATACAAATGGGCACCCATTTCACTCAACTTTGATCCAGTAGTAATGGGGCTGTTCGCATCACAGACTAAAAGTGCACCACAAACAAGGCACTACAGCAGAATGCTTATCCTGTACCAGGGTTAGGGTTAGGATTAGAGTTAGGCTCCATGTTTAGGGTTAGG